AAGGTTAAGAGCTAAACAGGATTAACAACAGTGCATTAGATATGGATAAGAGAAATAAAATACTCGTCTCCCATCCCTGGAGCTGGGAGAGGAGTATCCTCCTGCTTCAGGTCATGAACGAGCTAATAATTGTCTGGGGTTAGGAAGAAACTCCTGCTGCATCCCTACTACTGCATGACCGTTCATCATGGTGGTTTGATGCCTTCTTCCCGGGCTCCAGGAAGCAGGACACTGGCCCAGGGGTTGGGTCCAGCTAGATGCATCCTATGCTGAGGTCCACACTATTAGTATTGGCTGCGGGTACAGCACATCCACAAATGCCAGGAAACGGAAAGACAAGCTTCCCGAGTTCATCTTTATCGAACCAGCTCCCTTTGCTGCTGCCAGATGGCATTTTCGGAGCGGAGAACGCTGCAGGATCTCACGGGCAGGATGATGCATGCGCCTCTCTCAAGGCCCAGCAGCAGGAGCTGAGCCTGGGGTGGGGAATGTCCTACTTCTGAGGCTTTCAGGAAAAAAAAATGTAATTTTGACACTGAGCCCTTGTTTCTGCTGGTTCACACTGAAATGCCAGGACCTTCTTCCCCCAACCAGCTGCCTTCCCGTCTGCAACGGACTGCTTTAGAGTTCAAATCTGCATTCACCCCTCGGAGTGACTCCGACCAGAAAAGGACAGAGAAGGCTAGAAAGACAGAGCCAGAATAAGTGGGTAAAAAAGAAGGAATTGGAGGTAATAGCACAATAAAAAGGTGAGAGCGCCAGTGTTACAGGGCTGTATTATGCAGGCAAGTTTTCCAGGGGACAAAAAGGTTCAGCTCGTATATCCTTTACTCCAGAAGGCTTTAATGTGCTAATGTTAAGGAAGAACAACTCAAATTAAGGGAGCTCGTTCCATTTCCCTGAACTTGGAGATGCAATTTTAAGCTTTCGTTCTTCTGATTTAGTTAAGAGTTGCTAGCAACCAGCTGCCTGAGCTCCGACGCAAAGTGCTGCGTCTCTGAATTATACAGCTTCACACTTAGTGCAACACAAACGAAGTCTGCACAATCTTGCGCTGAGGCAGCACGTTTCATCTACAAAAGGCAGCGCGCGGGACAAGTGCGCTCCAGGGCAGAAATCCTTGCGGTTGCACCTGGGATGCATCAGCCCTGCGTGAAGTGCAGAGAACTTGCAAAGGAAGGTCGCTTGTGGGTTGATCTAAGCCAGGGGTATCTGAGCCATATGATCCAGGGCGTGGGTCTCAGACCGACCCCGCACGCGGCGGGCAGCTGACCCACAGACCAGCGTCCAGCGCGTGGAGCCGTGAGCTTGACACCGCCAATGTAATCAGTCATTGTACCTGTCGGCAGTTGCCGATATTCTGCTTTTACGATGCCCTGCCGGCACAATGCTCCACGTTCGGTCACGCCGAGCGTCAGGCTGGCGGGCAGGACTCGGAGGCTTTGCAGGGAGTCTGCTGTGAAGTAAGGGCACAGAAGCCCCGAACAGGCACGCAGAAAAAAGCGGCGGGACTCTTTGATATTCGTTTCTGGGTAATCAAAGGCACCGAGCTGTTCTGGAGCCGGCTGGCTTTTCTGTTGGCTCGCGCTAGGCCTTGCAGAGCCTCCAAGAGCATAAACACCAGGGTGAAAACCTTGCTTTGTAAAAAAAAATCATAATGGAGCTTTTGTTGTGGTGGCCGGTCCAGGATCACTGACTCCAGCCAGTCCTATTACTGCCTGAGAAAACTCCCAACTCGCCGAGTGGAAAAACGGAAGCCAGGAATATGGGAACTTGTAGGCACGTCTACACGTGCACTGATGCACCTTTTCTAACGTGCATTAAATTTAGTACCTCCAATGTGAGGTGATCAATTGAGGTGCATGAGGCTGTGCTAGCTACACACCAGCCCTCCTCTTGTCTCCCGTCCTCCTCATCCGGGGACAGACTCCTGGCTCTCCTCCGCCTGCACCCCAGCTTGCCTCCTTGCACTATGCAGGTACTAACGAGGTGGAAGGAGAAGGGATCTCCCAGTCGCAGGAGCCCGCTGGGCCCTGCTCCCCGACCTCGGTCCCAAAGCTCTTCCACGCGCGGCGATTCCCACGCCAAGCGAAGACAAGCGGGCACGGTCAACGGTGAGGGAAGCAGGAAAGCCGGTGCCCGTGGCCTTACTGCTGGTAGACCAGGCCCGGGAGCTCTCAGCCACATTTCCGGAGGTCATTTCCAAAAATTATTCATGCACATCCTGAGCAGAAAAGGATGACTGAAACCCCCACAAGCCTTCCTCTAGCAGTACCCAGCAACTTGCCTACGCAGGATTTTGCCATCGTCAGCTGTTAGTCCAGGCACTCAGAGAAGGAAAAATAATTACAAATGACCCCATTCATCTCTGTAGATCTCTGTATATTTATTTGCTTCCAAAAATGCAACGTGCAGGAACTGGATGCTTTAACCTGAAGTAAGCAGAACTAATTTGCTGTCTAGGCCGCACAAAAAATGTATTCCCATTTGTTGTGGGAGCCTCCGACAGCTCCCTTGCATAAATTCACTTTCTGTCAAGCCAGGAAGTCATGCAGCCTTTAGATGGTCCCTTTTGAGCTCCAGGACACACGGGATATCGCAGTAAGACATCGTTTACTCGCATAAGGACTTTGCAAGCTCTCATCAGCATCGAGCGAAGCCAAACCAGCGGCTCTCTCCTCATCACCGTGCGACTCCATTTCCGGCTGGGTAAGTCTGAGTACTGGCAGAAGCATAAAAGACACCTAAAAACACAAACTCGGGAACTTCTGGGATTGCCAGACACGTCCGAGTTGAGGCCAGGTGGATCGCTCCAAATAAATTGCTTTCTGCATAAGATCGAAGCGACGCCACAATGATGCCCCAGTCAGATACGGATTTACCCCGCTGCAGACACGGCACGTCGCTGGAGGAGCACGTGCACTCGGTCACTGGATTAAAAATGGAAACGCTGTCTGACTTGCTGTTTCAATCAAATGAAAAAGGCACATAAATATCCCTACTTTTAACTTTACCAGCCAGCAAACCAATCCAATCAGGCTCTTAAGTAAACAGCCTAATTTGTTTCTGAGGAATATTAGGGGTTTGTTGTTTTTTTTTTTTACAAAGACAAGACCTGTCAGAAACGACGGCAGCTTCGTCTCCCTGATGGATGTTGATGACTGGAAACCCACCGGCAATTCTGCGGCTCAGCAAACAGACTGCGACGTCTAGCAAGACTTACCCACTTGGTTTCCTAACCCTGTAAGATGCTCACGCTAGAAAGGCAATACTTTAGCAGGGTGTGGTACAGGTCCTCCCAAACAGCACGCATACACCATACGCATGCACGCACACGCATACATGTGCACAGGAGTTAGTGGCACAGTTAGATAGCCGCTACAGCACTTAGCTCCTGTACAGAGAGATCTCAAAGCACTCTGAGCTTCAGGGTATTGTGATTCTCATTCGACAGAGAGGAACAGCAAAGCAAAGAAAGGCGAAGGGATTTGCTCGTAGAAAGGCAGTAGCAGAGCTGGGAACAGGACAAAAGTGTCAAGAGTCTTAGCTGCACCACATCTGCCCAGGTGCGTGCGCCCAGACCCAGGGAGCGCCCTGCGGCATTCCCTGAGCACAGCTGTTTCACAGACAGCAGCGGTACCCCCCAATGACCACCACCTCTTGCAGACCCCACCTCGGCCGGCTCCCAGCACGGCACATCACTCCACTGAAATACTGCTTGCAATCACTTGGCGCTTCAAGTTGGCTCAGAAAGAACTTGCTGCCAGTGGGTTTTTTTCCCTGAGATGGTTTCTTTGAAGGAGTTGCTGATTCTCACTGGAGCGGGGTTTCTGCCAGATCATGGCCTGACTTGAGCCTACACGGAGGGAGGGAGGCGGGCATTAATGCCCAGCTCTGCCACCAAATGATGGAGGCTCCTGCCTTCAAAGGCTGCTGGTAAAGCACATGGCTTCACACCCTTGGGAGGAAGCTCAGCAGCACAGCAGGAGCAATGGAGGTGCATGGGGGGTGCGAGGGGCATTAGCTCCTCCGTAGGATTTCGGAGAACTGTTAGCAGGCCGGACACTCAGACCAACCCTGTCTGGGCCGGAGAAGGGAAAGGCGATGGGCCAGGCGCTGCCCCTGCGCCGTGACTCCCAGACCTTCATTGCTTACCCAGGGTAGAGAAGTAGTCTGACATCCAGGAATCATTTAACTCGTGTCTTGGGGTCTCATTAAAGCTATGCATGCGGGGCCAAATCGACTGCTTTCCTACAGGGCATATGCCCAAGATTTGGCCCAGCGCATGCTTTGCTGCAGCAAGCCTTTGACAGCGACAGGCGCATACTGAACTCAAGTCCAGTTCTCCGTACGCTAGGATCCAAGCTCGCGGGCCGACGACTGTTCTCAAGTCCCAAAGAAACCAGCACAAGTTCAAGGCACTCAGCATTTCTCAAGAAGGGTCTCCGGTCTTGCCAAAAGAGAAGTGGGTTTGGGTTGGTGGGTAACATGCAGTTACATCTTCGCTGCGCTCTTCGAGAATAGGTTTCACCAAAACCACCGGCAGCGGCTTGCTTGAGAAGGAAAACGATTCCTCAGCCCCGCTGTGCTCAGCAGCACGGGTCATTACTCAAATGTTTTAGGAGATCGTGCCCTCAAGACAGCACGGGAACAAAACCTGTTTTCAAAGGAACATGCATCCCACCAGCATAACCTGAGATATAACCTTCCTTCTGCGTGTCCTCGTGAGAGGGCATTTAGCAGAATTTGCTGGAATAGGACAGGCTGCACCACGAGCGCTTCTGCTACGGCCTTGAACTTGCAACCTCCCGGAGAGTCAACCGCGCACCTTCGCACCGTGCCACCCTACCACGGAGACATGACAGTCAGGCCCGTTACTGATGCCATATTTAGACTCTGCAAAGGACGTACACCGTATGACGCCATTCACAGCGCCCCCTGACACCACCATGCTGCCAAACCCGTTCAGAGGGACAGGAGGAAAAATTCAAGTCACTTACCGTAGAGAACTGTAATGAGGGACACGGGCATGACTAGGATCCCCACCAACATATCCGCCACTGCCAAGGACATCAGGAAGTAATTTGTGGCGTTCTGCAGCTTCTTCTCCAAGGAGACGGCCATGATCACCAGGATGTTCCCTCCGATAGTTAGCACAATGATAACCAAGATCAGGAGGGCCGGCCAGTTCTTCTCCCTAATGGACATACGAGAGACTTCTTCCTTCTCCGAGGTATTGAAAGGATCGAACGTGGGCAAACTCTGATTCAGAGTCAAATTGCTGCTTAACGGCCAAGCCATCAGACCACCGTGCAGACTGAAATCCAGAGTCACAGACACCGTCGTTAAGCTGACGAATATTCCAGCACCACTTAAAGTGCTCATCATCTGGGACTGGTTTTCCACTCCCTCAATCGTGCCTGGAAGCGCGTTTCATTTTCAAATGGACGGTCCACGGCAGGAGCCGAACTTCAAAACACGAGAGCCGTAAAACGGTTTGATCTTCCATAGTGGAGCAAACGTGGCAGGAGCGAGCGCGGCGCTTGTCAGGGTGACCTCAGGGACGACGGCAGGTGACCACCGACTCGTAGCGCGGAGGAGGTGGTGGCGTGGTGACGTCCAGCTCGTTTTCCTGCTCATCGTTCTGTAAAGACAAGAAAAAGGCACCTTCTTTTTCAATGAAATCACGACATACTCAACATTTCTATATCCCCACACCAGCAACATACTTCCTCTCTCTTCCCGCTGGCTAGCGTGCTCTCCAGACTGCCAGTCATTTATCTTATGCATACAGACCATGCCTATAATTATGTAGCGGGGGGGAAATCACATCAGTGTGTTCTGGCTGGTTAAAAGCTCATTATCATTAATTAAATATTTTGTGAAACCTGCAAAAGCAAGTCTGAAGAGCAAGACGTTTCAACTGATAGCCACTTCACAGAGCGTCTCCCTCCGCACCCGGTCGTGCACGGACAGTGCCAGCGATCCCAACCCACTATTACCGTGACTCGAAACAGAAGTGTTTGGATATACTCTGTACGCGCCGCGCTGGAGCACAGGTGTCATCAAAACACCACCAGAGAAGTGATTAACCCTCCCGCAGGAAAGCAAGCTATATTTGATGTTTATTTTGGCAAACGCGTGGTAAAACTCCCCCCGCAGCGCTGTCGACGGTATGCTGCCAGCCTCGCCGAACAAACAAGCCAAGCAAAGAAGGGGGGAGACAAACCTTTGCCAAAGCTGAGCTGCATTTTAATGCATTTCCCTCCTCCCCGTGCTTCTGGGCCCAGGCACGCTCACCTGGGGGGTCTGGACGTGCCCCCTACCCTGGGGGAAGCTGGCCCACGGCCCGGGTGCCCCCGTCGTGCTCAGCACAGGAGCATCGGACATTTTGTCATAGTGGTTACTGGTTTTTAGCTTAGATTTCCTACTCCTATCTTTCACTCGCTCTCTTCTCACAGACGTGTTCATCAGGCCAGGAGGTGCCAGCAGACCATCCAGCAAGATCTCCCATGTGAGACAGGCCAGACAAATTAATCCGGTCACTCCTTTAGTAATCTCAATACCATTGTTTTAGATCTCGGTTAAGCAAAGCGCTTAATCACGTGCTTAAGTTTAGGCACCTGCGTAAGTGCATGGGTGCCAAACAGACATGCAGTAATAATTAGCTGGCCTGAACCCACAGCTCAGCTGCTACTGCACCGCTGAGATTTCTGCTATTCATTTCCCCTGGAGTGGGATCAAGCTGGCAAGGAAAAGAAAAACTTTACAGTAATGAGAAATGGGGGAAAATATGGACAAAAAGCCCAGAAAGGATCATAAAGGGAAAGCAAAATGGTTTGTTTTGAGCACCCCACCCCTCTCAGCTCCCCGCTGTAACCCATAACGTTCAAGCTCTTGCGTCAGCCTTACAAAGCCAGACGAGAGAGATGTTAGCTCCCTAACACGGTCCGCACGCAACCCGGCACTTCGCTATCCAGGGATCAAAAGGTAAATGCAATTTGCAGGATTAAATTAAATTCTGGGTAAGGAAAAGAAGTGCTCAGAGTCCTGTAATAAAACGTTTAGCATTCATGGAGGCGTTGGTTACTTACTAATGGGCCTCACATGGAAAAACACTTCTTAAATGAGCAGCGTGCACAATGAACCCAGATTTGTCTCTAGACTAGAGTTAATTACTCCCAAAGGTTCTGCAGACCTCTTATTTAGGAAGAAATCTGTGCAATTTGCACAGAAAATAACAGTGCTTCCACACATGCAAATGAAACAACCAATAATCACTGGAAAGGCTCAACTGCAGAGCTCGGAAAAAAACGCTCGTCAGAAAATGGCAGCACCCTTCCAGAATATTCGTGCGAAACACGGTTCACTTTCAAATCCGATGTGAAAACAGACTTTACTAGCACTTGTGTTCGCTCTGCCAACGGCGTGCTATCGAATGCCGCGTCCCTCGAGTGGCCTCGTCGGAGAAGGTCGAGGTTGGCGATGTGATCCGCCCCCTATGAAAGCCAACGGGATTTATTGCGGGGTCTGATCATGCCGCGTGTGACGCTGGAACGAACGGGACCTGTGCACGGGGGGAAGAGGAGCACCGCCTGCGACGGTACGGATGCGGTAAAACAGCACGATGCATGACAGGTGGCAACTTGCTCAGCAGAGCAAATCAAAGAGATTTCCCCCCCACACACTTGTTCTGGTAAACTGAAAAAAGCCATAATAGCCAACTGTCAAATAGCAGAGCGACGCTGATGAATGGCACGGGGCAGTTTGCAATATCGAAGGAGTTTCAGGCAGGCATTGAATTCCAACGTCCCAGAACATCAATAGGTCTGAACGGAAGAGGAAATCCTCAGTGTCCAAGCCAATACTAGAGATGCCAAAGGTGCAAGTCTGCGACCCCACGCTCGCACGAGCTGCCCTGGTGACTTCTACGATGATGACTATTGACGGCAAGCAACGCAAGCAGGCTTTGCCTTTCCATTTCAACGTGACAGTAAAACCGAGCTGTGGTTATTGCTGCTGCTCTTTCACCGCTGCCTTTGACATGTCTTTACAAGTAAGGCTCCCTGAAAGGGGCAACGTGCAAACATCCGCAGTAGATCGCTGTGTAGCAGAAAGCCCCTTTTCCTCTTGCCTGCAGTTGCTCTCCCTACTTGGATATGTTTTTCCTCTTCTACCTTTTCTTCCTTCCTTCCTCTTTCTTTCACTTAAAGATAAGGAATTGTGTTTTGAAATTTGTATGTGTGCATTTTGTATCTCCCCTTGTATTTTGGTATTTTTATCTATTTGTGTGCCATGGCATTTGTAGCTTATATTTTATACTCCTCACCTTTCAACTAAATGTGTTTAGTTTCATAAGTAAATTATATATTGTAACAATGTTAACAAGGGCAGGAATCAAACTGCCTTTCCCTGTATCAGGCTGGCCCCTGAAAGAGCGAGTGAATCAGTGATTGAATGTGTAACGTGATTGAATGTGTAACATAGTAGCAGACAGCAATTATCACCTGGAAGCTGCAGATCAACCAAGGGAAGAACTCAGTAGAAGACAATGTAACAACCGGGAAATCTCTAAACCTGATCAAGGGCTAGAAGCCCTGGCCTGAGTTAATCAACGCCAGA